TTATCTTCCTCCCCCATTTATTCTTTGTGTCAGCAAATATGTTCTGAAGAGCTACTGTGGTTTACCACTAGGAAAAATATTGTCAGGCATATAGCATCAGTATTAAATGAGATCTCTAGCCTCCAGCAGTTGAATACTGGGGCGAGGGTGGGGGAGAGAGAGCAATTCTGAAGCTGGTTTAGTATATATTGAGTATTCACTATAAGTCAACCAGGTGCCGGCAAGTTGACTTTGATTTGTGGCTACCTCATGTGTCAGAGTAGAACTGTGCTTCACAGGGTTTTGAAATGGCTGATTTTGCAGGAGTAGATTGCCAGGACTTTCTTCCAAGGCACTTCTGGGTACACTCCAATTTCCAACCTTTTAATTAGCAGCCAGCACATTAACCATTTGCACCACCCAAGCAGTCTGGCATATAGCGAGTGTTTAGTAAACAATAAACATAACGAAGGCAATAAGAAGGCAGATAGCGCCACACAACCCCATCTCTCACTTGCTCTGAGAAACTGCAAGAATCTCAGATTTGTGTGGCCATTTTCTCCCCTCTTGGCAGATGGGAGCATGGGGTAAAGTTACTAGAAGCTCGGACATGTTCACCAGCTCCTGTGTAGACAAAGGCATTTAAGTAGCATGCTTTCTGGACCTACTGAGAGTCTTTCTGTCCAGATATCTGAGTCTTGGGGTGCCTCAGAGCCCATTAGTTTGATGTGAGACTTCCAGCAACATTAAGAAACTATCTAAGGAATTGAACAGGGGAACTTTGGGATGTGAGTGCAGTCTGACTGAGGAGGGCCAACATGGCTACGGGGAAGAAAGGTCAGGACTCTGGAGCCTCCTGGAATCCTTTGAAGCACTGGCTGCTGAGAAGATGAGCATGCAGTGGGATGGCTTGCACAGCAGCCCATTTTTCTGAAAGCATTTTCACAAAGTATTCTACATCACGGGTTAATATATAAGACACAAGTTGTGAGTGGAAAGTTGGCAAAGTCCTTTGGAAATTGGCTAAAGGGCAGGAAACAAAGGGTAGCAGTAAAAATCTAAAAGGAGGTTAATTGGGGAGTGCCTCAGGGAATAGGGTTGTGACCGGCTTTTTATTATTTACATAAAAATTACTTGGAGAATGGTATCGAAAGAGATTTCATGTTAGAGCTGTGTGTGCATTAGAGAAAAGTGAATAATCGCATTAGGGAAGGATTCAATTTGTTGATAGAAGTCAAAGTAGCATTTTTTTAATACATTTGTATTTATTAACCCACACGCATTCTGCTGGTCAAGCTTCCATTTGAGTTGTGGGCAGGATAACTTCAGTTTGAACAGTTCAACACTCCACATTTCTTGTACCAACAGAAAGCAGAAACTTGCAGAGGTTTTGGCACCCTACTCACAGGGCAGGTCCCAAAATTACATAGATGTTATCTTTAGACATGAAAACTTCTTTTTTAGAAGGAGCTGGGAGGCTGATGGAATCTACTATTTAGCTACAAGCATAAGATTGGGCCACCTTGCATCCACAGCACCCCACCCCTCTTTACTTAACCTTTTCTATCCTTTGGCCGGCTCCAGTCACCACAGAAATTTATTATAGATATTCCCTGTATTAGTTTCCTATAGCTGCTGTAACAAAGTACCACAAACTGGGTTACAAAAAAAAAAAATATATATATATATATTCTGTCATAGTTTTGGAGGATGGGAACTTAAAATCTTGAAATCAAGGTGTCAACAGAGCCATCCTGCTTCTGAAGGCACTAGGAAACGGTCTGTTCCATACACCCCTCCTGCTTCATTGAACGCCAGAAATCCTTGGCATTGCTTGTCTTGTAGACACATCACTGCAGTCTCTACTTCCATCTTCACACAGCTTTAGCCTCTCTGTGTGTCTCGTGTGTCGGTGTGTCCCAATCTCCCTTTCCTTTCTCTTATAAAGATACCTGTCAGTGGATTAGGGTTTTTCCTAATCCAGTATGGGTTTATCTTAACTTGATTATATTTGCATAGACCTTGTTTCCAAAATAAGGTTATATTCACAGGTATTGTGTATCTTAGGACATGAACATACCTTTTTTGGGGGGAGGGAGAGCAGGAATTCAACCCATAACACACCCAGATAAGAAGCTAGCAGTCTCTCTTACACAATCTCTTTTAAGAGTCTCTTGGCTGCTGACTAAAAGGTTGGCAGTTCTAACCCACCCACTGGCTCCACAGGAGAAAGACATGGCAATCTGCTTCTGTAAGATTACAGCCTAGAAAACCCTTTAGGGCAGTTCTCCTCTATCACATGGGGTCACTGTGAGTCAAAATTGACTCCACAGACCTAGAACAACAACCTAGCCTACGCTAGGGGATAGCCTATATAGGCATCACAAAGTTCACAGAGCCCTTGATTTCCTTGTTTTCAAATCAGTAGAAATCCTCTGTGGCCTTGGTACTCAAAGTGTGGTCATGGACCTGCAGCATTGGCATCACCTGGGAGCACGTGAGAAATGCAGAATCTCAGGCCCTACTCTAGAATTATTTGAGACACTGATGGTTCAGTGGTAGGATTCTTGCCTTCTATTCAAGAGATACAGGTTGATTCCTGATATACCTTATACCGAGCCACCATCCATCAGTGAAAGCTTGTGTGTTAATAGGATGTTGAACAGATGATTGTTTTTTAGTAACCCAGTTTGTGGTACTTTGCTACAGCAGCTATAGGAAACTAATACAGGAAATATCTATAATAAATTTCTGTGGTGACTGGAGCCAGCCAAAGGATAAAAAAGCTTGTGTGTTACTGTGATGTTGAAGTGCAGCTTCCAGACTACAATGGACTGGGAAGAAAGGCCTGGAAGTCTACTTCCAAAAATCAGCCAGTGAGAACGCTATGGACCATAGCAGTCTGATCTGCAACTGATGCTGGAGATGGTGCAGTGTTTTGTTCCATTGTGCATGTGGTCAACCATGAGTTGCAGGCAACTTGATGACAGCTTACAACTCCGGAACTAAATTAGAATCTGAATTTTAATAGGATTCCCTAGGTGATTTTTTTTTTTTTTTGCATATTAAAGTTTGAAAAGCATTGCTTTAAGAACCACAGGGAATGAAGCAAAAGGGGATTTGGTTGCTTCTGATAGAGTTAAAATCAGATGTAGTTAGCTCAGTGGCCTGAGTAAGAATTCTGGCATTTCGGACTTTCCAGTCTGCTGTAAACTTACTTTCCCCTTCCTGTTTTAATTTGGCTCATAAGGCTCAGTGCCCTCTCCAGAATGTAAGCTTATCCTCAAGTGAACATGCCTTTTTAGAAGATGTTAAAAGCTAGTGAGTATACCCCTGAGTGCTCTTCCTCCAAGTGTTCTTGAGCCGAACCATTAGCTAATTGTTAGCAACTAGTGCACAGGCCAAGGAGCTCTGGTGGTGCTGTGGTTAGAGCATTGGGCTACTAACCAGAAGACTGGCAGTTCAAACCCACCAGCTGCTCCACAGGAGAAAGATGAGGCAGTCTGCTTCCATAAAAATTAATAGCCTTGTTAACGCCTATGGAGCAGTTCTACTCTGTCCTATAGAGTTGTTATGAGTCAGAATCCCCTAGATGGCAGTGGGTTTGGTTTTTATATGTATATATTTTTTATTTTTTTTAGTGCACAGGCCACTGATGTCTGGCACCTGGAGCCTGCTTTTAATTTGAGCTCATTTGCCAAGGGCTCCATGAGTAGGAATGGGATTTTTTTGTGTGTGTCCTGCTGCTCAGTGTTGGCTGTTAGTCCACAGTACCAGCCCCACAGCAAGATTTCATGGGCCCAGGCAAACCTTTCTAAACATGGGAGGCTTGGCTTTTAAACCCAGATTTGAACAGTCTGTGCCCTCTTAGAAATGTATTCCTTCTAGGTCTGGAACTAACAACTGATCACATCTCTCCTCCTTGACCTATAGCTCTTACTTGGCCTTGCTATTAGAAAATAGGATTGAGTAATGGGGGGGTAGAGGAGTTGTTTGATGGAGTCAGAGCATAGATGAAATTGAACTGGTACTGTCCTCCACTTACAAGCTAGTGTAGACAGGGGCTGATTCCAATGTCCCAACTCCATCTACCAAAATGGGAGGGAACAGCAATGAATCTCCACCCCCGATGAAGGAGGATGAACATAGAGTTCTGGCCACACCCAAACGACACCTGACTTTTGTTCTTATTAGTTTTGACAAGGCTGCTCTGTTCTTTTCAAAGAACTTAGGTAGTAGGTGTTGAAACATCTAATTGATTCAGGGTGTTAGAGATGAGGAGAAACTTAACATTTGCTAAGACAGACTTTGGAGATTCAGACTAAGGACATGTTCTTTGTAACTTGGCATAGCTTGAGGGGTTCCTCAAACCTGAGTTAAGCCTCAGCCCCATCTTTAACAGAGTCTGGCCACTTGGGCCTTGGAGCAAGTAAGCCAAAGAAGGTTTCAAGTGAGTCTATTAAATAAAGTATGTCTCCTCAGCCCCAGACAAATGCATACAGAGTAATTACTAAGAACTCTGTATTGGCCTTTACTTCCCCACATACTGAGAGCTCCTTGGAAGCAGGGAAATCTCTTATTTATACCTATAGCATCTGGCACAAAGTGGGCCCTTACTAAATGATTGCTGAATGAATCCACAAAAGAAGAAAAGAAGCAAGCAAGACTCTTGCAGCTCTTTTGGCTAACCCAGTATCTACTAGTAAGTCATTATGCCCACAACACGTCAGATATTAAATTTGCAATCAGTTTCTTCCTTGTCAATTATTAAGCACACCCTTTGGGCTCTTTTGCAGTTGTGTATTGGGCCCCACGTGTCTTTACAAACAAGTCTCAAATGGAAGCTGCCCCTGTCACAAAGCATGCTGCATTATCAAATATGTTATAATGCAAACCTGAAAACCATTAGGCTGGGCAGGAAAAGGGAAGGGGAATTGTTAGAGGAAATAATTTTGTGACTTGTGGGGCTTTAGAAGATGTGTTCCCAACTTCCTAAGCCAGTATGTTCCTGTTCTTTGTAGGTAAGAATCTATGATCTCTCCAAATATGAGCATGGAGCAGATGATGTGCTGATCTTGGCCACTGATGGACTCTGGGATGTTTTATCAAATGAAGAAGTGGCAGAAGCTATCACCCAGTTTCTTCCTAACTGTGATCCAGATGACCCTCACAGGTTTGTGTGCTGGTGTGATTATAAGGTGGTTCCTCAAGCAGTCTTTCATGACATGACTGAAATAAATAATAATCATGTAATGTTGATCATTACTGATTTATAGTAGAGGCTGATACAAATGGGTTAGTAACCAAACTGCAAAATGGACACTCTTGCTATAGGTATTTTTTCAGCCAAATAAAAATCCTCCTTAAGCTTTACGTAGATATAAGTGGTTAAAAAATAATAATTTTTTAGGTATTTCAACAGTATATCTCTCTCACATTCTTACTTCATATCCTCCGAAGTGGGAATAATCCAGTCTTTGATCCTGCTGAAGAAAGTGACGGCAGGTGCTCCCAGCAATGATTTTTATCCATGGGGGAATTATCTTTGAGAAACATTGGGAAGGATAGAAAGATTAGAGTAGGTATACCTTTTTAACAGAATGGCAATGTAAATATCTAAACAACTGTAGGTTCCTCTCAGCAGTAAAGAGAAATCCCCTCTGTAGAAAGGGAGCTTTAACTCAGAACACAAGGAAACAAGTCACCGTGAGTGAAAGCCAGAAGAAACAATAGACAACACAGTTGGACCTGTAAATACATTATTGGAATCAAGAGACAAAATATATAAATATTTAACATGTTTCAGAAAGTGTTTTAAAAGCACTGAAAATATAAGAAGAAAGAAGAAACTATAAAAATGACTAAATAGATTTCTTAAATGAGGCAATGGAACTTTTAGAGATGAAGAATATAAAAATTGGAATTAGATATTCAATGGATCAAACAGATTAGAGATAACTGGAAAAACAAAAGTTTTTGCTGAAATGGAAAATTGATTTGAATCAGTAATCCAGAATGTGGCTCAGAGGGACAAAGAGAAGGGAAATGATGATAGAAATAGTGGTTGAATGTAGGAAATTTACAGGCTGGGAACACTGGCAAGATGTGTATGTTAAGAGTCTTGAGACAGAATTCCTTCTCTCTTGGAAAACTTCACTTTTTGCTCTTTAGGCCTTCAGCTGATTGGAGGAGGCCCACCTACATTATGGAGGGTAATCTGATACACTTAAAGTCAACTAATTGTAAGTGTTAATCACATGTAAATACCTTCATAGCAAAAACTAGTGTTTGGCCAAACAACTAGATACCACAGCCTTACCAAGTTAATAAATAAAATTAATCATTACCTGGCTAATTCATGTTGTTCTACCTATATTATCCACAGAAACATATACAAAAAATTCTTGTATCTTTAAGGTTCTAAGAAGCCAAAGGAGTAAAGTATTGAATCTATGGTCCTTATTTCCATAATAGCATCCAATTTAGAAGTGAGAACAGAATAAATCCAGGTAAAGTAATGGAAGAAAAAAAGAAAAATAGCGAATTAGAGAATATAAAATAAAGATAGATAAAAAAGCTAAAATTTGCTTCTTTAACATAACTAACAAAATAGATAAATTTCTTGTAAGATTAATGAAAAATGGCACAAGATATAAAATAAAAAATAGCAATAATGTAGATGCAGCAAAAATTAATGTAGTAAGAGGAGATTATTTATATATATATATATATATTCTTAAATAGGAAGACTCAACATTGTAAGGATATTAATTACCCCAAAATTGTCTATAACATCAGTGAAATTATTGAAGATACCAACTGAAGTTTTTGTAGAACTTGACAAGCTGATTCTAAAATATATGTGGAAGAGCAAAATACCAAGAATGTAACATGTATGAAGAATGGAGGCAGGAGGTGTGTGGGAGTGGGGGTGGGGATGGGTCTTACCCTACTTGATATTAAGACAACGTCGGAAACTGAAACCGTGTAGGAAAAATAGAAATAGGATTCTTATTTAAAATCAAGTCTAAGTAAATTAAGACTTAAATGTGAAATGCAATAGTAAATACAACTTTTAGAAAATAGCATGAGAACTGTCTTTACGACCTTAGAGTTGGGAAGGATTTCTTAAACAAGGCACAGTGAGTACAAAAATAGAAGGAAATTTGTCAATAGATAGGCCTATAAGGTGAACAGTAACATCAGGAGAGTATGCACTCATTACAACAATCAAGCATATGAGATCTAGAGGATGGCATTTGCCCAGGGATAGAGTTAAGAAAGTGGGAGGGAATGAAAAAAAAGAGCACAGAGAAGGGATGGGCAAAGAAAGTGGGAAGAATGCTGTTATAGTGTAGGGATCACGGTAAATGTCACAAAACAGAGTGTGTATAGATTGTTGAATGGAAAACCAATTTGCTCTATAAACTTTCACCAAAACCACAATTAAAAAAAAAAATCTTTTTTTAAAAAAGTAAGTTTGATAAATTTGACTACACTACAAGCACGAATTTTGTTCTTCAGAAACCAAATCAAGCTCACGGCCATTGAGTCGATTCTGACTCATAGCGACCCCTTTAGGTTTCTGAGGTGGTAAATCCTTACCGAAGTAGATCGCCTAGTATTCCTTCCAGGGAGTGGCTGGTGGGTTTGAACCTCCAACCTTCTGGTTAGCAGTCAAATGCTTTAAGCACTATGCCACCAGAGCTCCTTTATAAATGGAAAAGCACACCACAAATGTTGGTTACTATTATTACCCCAAATAATTATTAAAATGTGGATCTATAGAAAATGTTAAATAATTACCACATAGTGACACTATGCATGTGCACTGGAACAAAGCTGACTCAGAGTATAAAGCATGTAAACATTTACAACTTTAAATGGCAATGCTAAACATTATACAAAGAAATGTTTTAAGAGAAAACACTGAAAGACACACACATGGTTGACTTAAAAGACTTTTAAAATGAGTCAGAATGAAGTACAGCATATAAAGAGGTATTTAATCTTTAAGTGGCAAAAGTTGCTAGTCACCTGCAAGAAAAACAAGAATTATGGGCATTCCTAAGATAAATGGAATAAAATTCCATCACTTCTTCAAAAGATGAGTTAAAGAGACAAAAAAGACAATCTGTGAACTTGGAGAAGATATTTCAATTTTTATAACAGAAAAGGGATTTGTATCAATAATACATAAAGAATTCCCAAAAATCAATAAAGCAAGCACAATCCAATAGAAAAAGGAGCAAGAGTCATACAGACATTATACACACAAAAATTAAATTTAAAAAATATATATGAAAGAAAAATAAACATAAATATTATTTTAAAAATTCAATCTCAATAAATCAGAGAAGTACAAATTAAAAACACTCTGAGATATGGTTGCTCACCAGATTAGAAGCATTTAAAAAGTGATAATTTTAAGAGTTAGCAAGGATGTGAAGCAACTGGAACTCTCATACACTGCAGGTAGATTTGTGAATTTGTAGAATTACTTTGGAAGACAACTTTCCATACCTGGTAAAGTAGAGCATAAGCATATCTTATAACCCAACAGTTCTACCCCTAGGTCTGTACACTTGTTTATGGAATGAATTGTGTCCCAAAAAAGTATGCGTTGAAATCTTGACCCTTGTACTTACGAGTGAGATTTCTTTGGAAATAGGATTTTTCTTTTGTTATATTAATGAGGTCATACCAGAGTAGGGTGGATCCTAAACCTAATCACTTTTGATTCAAGAAAAGACCAGAATACAGACTGAAACACACCTGCAAGGGGAAAACAGATGCCAGGGAATGCCACCTTGCAAAGATCGCTGGCAGATACCAGAAACTAGGAGAGAAGCTCACAGAAAGAATTAACAAAGGCAAGACCCTGATTTGGCCTTTTAGTCTCCAGAACTGGGAGAAAATGAATTTCTGTTCTTTAAAGTTACCCACTTGGGGTATTTCTGTTACAGTAAGTAGCATTAGGAAACCAAGATACTTGGAGTAATGATTCTGAAAGAATGGCCCTCAGGTTGCTGTGCTATCAACATCACCATGTTAGAAACTCAAATTACCAGACCCCCAAATCAGAAACTCAAAAACGTAGGGCCCAACAATTTGTGTTTTAACAAACCCTCTGGGGGATTCTGATGCTCCTAAAATCTACAAACTAAGTTTCCTGGATAAATTCTTGCATCATGAGGCTTCACAAAGATATCCATGATGTTTTTATTGCAAAAACTAGAAGCAACTTACAAGCCCAAATGTAGGATGGATAAACAAAGAATGGAATACTTTACAGCACTGAAAAGGAATGAACCAAAAGTATACTCATTAATAGGAGGACTCTCCAAAACATAATGTTGAGTTTAATAGGCAAGTCCCAGAAGAAACACGCATTATGATTCTACTTATATAAAGTGTAAAACTAATATATTTAGGGATCTAGATATTAAACTGTATGTAAATATAAACCATAAAGGAAATCAAGATAATTAACCTAAATTTGAGGATAATAGTTGCCTTAGGAGCTCTGGTAGTGTAGTGCCTAAGGTATATGACTGCTAACCAGAAGGCTGGTGGTTCAAATCCGCCAGCCACTCCTTGGAAGTAAGATTGGGCAATCTACTTCTGTAGTGATACTGCCAAGGAGGGTTCGCTATGAGTCGGATACGACTCTACGGTAGTGGGTTTGAGTTGCCTTGGGAGAGTAGGTGGCAGGGACAAAAGGGAATACGTGCTTGAGGAGGGGCCCACAGTAGACTTCTAAGATATTCACTGGTATTTTCTGCTCTTTTAACTAGGTGGCCGGTACGTGATTGTTCATTTTATTTTTGAATTGTACGTATGTTATATACATTAGTTTATATGTAAAATACAAGAGATGGTATAGTCTAGTGATTAAGAACCTAGAATGTAGTCGGACTGCCTGAGGTCACATCCTGGCTCTGCCACTTCTGGCTTTGTGACCTTTAAGAAGTTTCTGTGCCTTGGATTCTTCATCTGTAAATGGGGATTCCAATGCTACCAGTCTTATACCCCTATATAAAGTGAAGTATCTGGCATATAAAATAAAAAAACTCACTGTAGCAACTGGGATCTTGAGCTTGCAAGCAGCCATCTAGATGCAACGATGGTTCTCTCCTCATCCAGCACAAAGAAGAATGAAGAAAACCAAAG